GGTACTGACATCTGATGTGCATATTGCTGATGTGCTGTTGCTGAGGTCTGTGTGCGGTGTGTTGACGACTTGTCCGAGGAGCAATTCCTTTGGTGAGAACTTGAGAGCTGGGAGTATGCGGTGATTGAGGGCTGTGATGGTGTCTTCCAAGTGGTCCGGCCAATTGAGCGGGAGTATATCCCATGACAATCCTTCATAATCATCCTCACCTAAGTCTGGCACACATAGTCTCTTGAGAACGTGTAAGAGAATTTTGTTCATGCCTTCCACTAAGCCATTAATCCAGGGTTAGTATGCGGCAACAATGTGGGTATTACAGTTCCACTTAGTGCAGAATTCCTTCACGACTGTGTTGTTGAAGTGCTTGCCTCCATCAGACATGAAGGTTTCAGCCACTGTGAAATTCTGGAAGATTTGCATTAGCCCGTCGACCCTTGTCTTTGCCATTCCCGTGGACTTGTACTTGAACGCCCATATATGTTGCGAAAAGGTGTCCAAATACACTCCCAGCATGTTGTGTCCTCTAGCTTTGGGTAAGGTGAGGTAATTGCCTACTAGAAGTTCGAATGGGTGTCAACGTGTTATCGGCTCTAGCAAGGAATGAAGATGGGGCGCACCAAAGTTCTTACACTTGCTGCAGTCGCCTATTGCTGCCATGATAGAGTCATCTAACTTCAGGCTGTGTATCCAGTCCGTTAACGCAATCTTGATAGCATCCTGACCCCAGTGTCCTCCTTTGGCATGTTGTCTTGTCACTAAGTCCTGTGCCTCCTTTTGGGAAACACATTCAACCTTGCTTCGTGCCCTGACTGCAGTACCACCTCATAGTCTCCAAAGCTTTTTGTCTTGGACTAGGTACTGTGATGCCCTGTGCTGTGCTCGTTTCCGGTCTCGGATGTCTTTTCCGCGATCAATTTGCAGCATTGCCTCGATAACCTCCAGAAACACTGGTTCTTCAGCGAACCTTTGCATGAGCTGTGCGGCTACAGAATTGTCCAGGTTAGTCGATATTTGCAGCAGATCATTGATCAAACCGGAGTTGGACTCCCAGTCCTCACTAACAGTCCATTCACTCCCGTCTAGTAGTCCGATGTCCCATGGATGGCCTTCCCATTGTCGGCTGAGTCCATCAGCTATGACATTGAGTTTCCCTGGTACATGTCTTATGTCAACAATATTGTGAGCTAGGATTCCATCTCGCCAATGTGCATGCACCGCATTTAAGCGATTACTGATAAGGATGTCCTTTAATGCTTGGCAGTCTGTTTCGACTTTGACCGGGAAGCCCCAGATGGTGTCTGAAAACTTGTCTAAAGCGAACTTCAGGGCAGTGAACTCCAGCAGGAAAGGCTTATAGTTCTGTTCCGTCGATGATGTTTGTTTGGAGGCGAACACTATTGGATGTAGGTGCTCGGTCCACTTCCCTGATGGGCTTTGCATGCGGGTGCGTTGAAACAAATCTGCTGCAAAACCTTCAGCGCAGCCATCTGATGTTATTACAAAATTAGAGCCATCGTACCTTGGAGCTTGGAGGATCGGTTTTGACACAAGTGCTGCCTTAAGATCTAGAAAGGCTTTCATGTGCTTCTCTTCCCATAGATCTTGTAGCTTGTGACTCCGTAAAGTGTGTCGGTATGTGTTCTTTGTGTATTGAACAGCTAATGGTGCCGCTTTGACCAGATCTTGTAAGGGGCCTTCCCGTAGTGAATAGCTTTGAATAAGATCACGAAAGTAACTGGTGAGCCCTAAGAACGATTCCATGTTCAGTGCATCTGGTGGTTGTTCCCAGTTGATGACTGCTGTTAGTTTCGCTAGATCTGGTTGTACTCCTCAGGGCCCAATGGTGGCTCCCGTGAACGATGTTTCTGTCATGAATAAATGGCATTTTGTTGGGGACAGTGAGATGTTGCATTCACTGGCACCTTTGGAATATTCGCTCGAGCTTCCCCATCATTTCATCAAAGCTATTGGCCACGCTCCCTCCATCATCAACAAACAACTCCATTGTGTTGTTGGTCAGCATATCAGTGCAGGTTACTAGCCATCATTTCTGAGAATGTTGATGGGGCGCCTGTCAGGCCCATTGGCATTCTCTTATACCAAAAATATCCCTGGCCTTCGACGTAAAATGCCTGTGTAGGGGCATGATTTTTCTGGGACCTCAACAGTGTAGAATCCGGATGCAAAATCGAATACAGACACGTACCTATGTCCACTGAGGCATAGTTGCTTGGCTCTGATATCGCCTTGGGGCATGGGTGCAATGTTTGTGACTCGATTACCCTTGTTGAAGTTTTGACAGATTTCGCCATTTTTGCAGGCTTTGCCGTCTTGTTTGTATTCTCAGGCACTTCGCGTTCTGGTAAGGTAAATGCTGGTGGCTGGTCATGTTGTAGGCACTGATTGTTGATGGCATGCTGTAGCTGTTCTAGTGTCATGCCTTCTTGTTCATGTGCCTTTTTTTGTGAGGACCGTATTAGCGCAGCATTTAACCATTTCTGGGGGTGCGTGCTCTATGATCCCCACTTTCAAGCATCTCATCTACTTTCCCATGGAAAAACTGTACCTGTGGGGGGGTGAGTGGACATTGGTGAACTCTAAGGTTGAATGTTACTCCCTCTGGTACATTCAGGCGATGAACTGCACCTGGGACTGGTAATACCTCTCCCAGTGAGCATGCAAATATATCCTGTGTATTTTGCAACCAGCCCTTTCACTTGTTCCAGCTTGTTGGGGGTTAGATCTTCCCTGTACTGGACTGCACTTGACTATCCAAATGACTCGTAATGGATTGTGTGGGTGTGTGAGTCGAGTGAATATTGCCGCGTCATTTGCTAAGAAATCCATCGGAATCTCCTTCAGGAAGGCATCTAACTCGTCTGCTGGTATTGGATCCCCATCTGTGGTGATGCATATTGGGGTGATGTGTTCTCTCATTGTTGGATCCTCATGTAGGGTGGTTAGTACATTCCCGTGATTCTTTTGGTACTGGTATGGGGACTCGCCTTGAGGGGGGCTCTTCTCCCCCCGCTTCTGCTTCCCGCTCGATTGTCCTCTGCGCAGTGTCCACCTCGTTGATTTCTTCTGTCTTTGCTTTCCTTGCTTGGGTTTGGTTGTACAGAGTTGTTGTCATATACCAGATCCGACCGCTCCGCTTTCCAATCCGCTCCGCTTTCCAATCCACTCCGCCCCATCCATCCTCCGATCTGTCCTATCACAAACCCGCAGTCCGCCCTATGCTTCCGCTCGACTGCTCAAACTGGTCCCCTTCCATAAACCTCTCCATTCAACTGGATCCCTTTCCCCTTTTAGACATACACTTTGCCCTTTCAGTACATAGACTCTTACTTCTGGATCACCGGTAATTCCTATTACCGCCCGATCGCTGATCCAACGCGTACATATTGATATCCGCTCCGACTTATGTCTTCACCTATGTAAAGTACTTACAAACTATATCCTTGGTACATAGCTTTACTACATAGTTGTCCTGATCACTGCCTCACATAGAAATATATAACATATCCTGTACTTAGATATTTTTCCTTAGTCTTAATATTACTTGTCTTCTCGCAGTTATATCCTGTGAGGATTCTCAGTAGGACCTTGCCTCCTCTGGACACAAGTCTCAACTTGTTGTCACCTCCAACCCTCCGACCCTCCGCTCCGACTTAGAGCCGTGCTCTAAGTCTTCCCCTTATTACCCTGCCCCTATCAAAATCCTCCTATCACCCCTTTCCCTATCCTCTGCATTACCCTCCGACACCTCTGCTCCTATCAAATATCTCCCTAGTTCCTATCCACCCTCCGCATTGTTCCCCACCTTTTCCGCTCCGCTCCTAGTTGGTCCGCCACTAGCAGCTCTTACTCCCCGACCCCCAAAGCGGACCCAAGCAGTCCACTCGTCCTACCGTCGGACAACGTCAGATCCACTCCAAATTTGGGGCACATACTCGGCTAAGGGCGGAGCGCAAGAGCTGAAGCCAAGCCCCGACCCCTCTGCCTCCTGAGCCAGCACAGTACCTAACAGTTGTGGACCCTCTGTTTCCTGTGACTTTGACTTTGTCAAGCTCATAGTTGTGAACCGCTTTGAACGCTTGTAGCATGGGCTTCCCAAAGAGAAATTTCCATCCGCCTCCACTCTGCAAGACTTCAAACTCCCCTTGTGTCTTTGCTCCTCCAATCTCTACTTCGCCTTCCCATACTGCTTCTGATTGGACGACTACTCTGTTTGCCATCCGGAGCCTTTTCTTTGATGGCCGCCAGTCTCCTAGTTGATGTTTGACCCGATTGAAGACTGACACGCACATAATGCTCGTCATCGCGCCCTCATCAAACAATGCTTGGACTCTGACTCTCTCTCCTTGCGGTCCGATAAACGAGGTTTGATGTAGGAATGGTAAGCAGTGCCGGTCGTTGTGCCTGTTGTCTTTGACATTTTCTGCCGAGTACAAATCAATGATGTCACATTGCTCATCTGAGGTTGTTACAGTGATGGGATCTGCGCATACGAATGTCTCGACAGGGCTGGGAGGCTGGTCCTCGCACATTGCCTCCTCATGTACGAGGACAGATGTATCTGGGTGAGGTACAATGTTCGTTTGGGTTGTCTGGTGCTCCTCTACACTGACAACCCTTGTCCTTTTCCCTGCTCCCATTGTTGGACATATTTGTCCTCAAATGCAACATAAATATGCATCGCGAGCCCATGGTTGAAACTCCCTAATGCTCTCGCCGCGAGGCTGCACCATATTCTCTCCTGGATGGTTAATTGTGAGGTTTCTGGGATTCTGCAATCCGCTGCCATGTGACTGTGAGCGCTGCATTTGAAGCATTCCCCTGAACAAATCATTGCACTGCCTGGACTGGAGTGGAAATTGGGTGTTCTCAGTGACTCTGCCATTCTACCCGTACTTTATGAACCACTGTTTGAGTTGCTCTTCATATGCTTGTCTGCCTATGTTCGTGTCTGGGTGGTGCATCATGTCATTAATGCAAGTTCACATCATGTCTTGTTCTTCTGGTGTGAGAGGCTGACATTGATGGAAGGGTTGACGAGCATTCTGGGGTGGTTCTCTGGTAATGTAGCGTATGCGGGCCATAGCATTGTTGAAGGGCATGGAAGTGGAATTATTGATAATGGGATGTTCATTCTGCATAGGTCCAACGTTTGCATGTTGAAGTTGCAAGCACATAATTTCGACTGCTTCTGCTTGCGAGTTCTCAAGCCACGTGAGTTGGGCGTTCTGGGCTTTCTCTACTTCTTTTTTCATCCGGGACGCCTGCGCTTTCTTGTGCAACTTGTTCATGTCAATGTCCTTAATCTCCTCTAAAAATTTCTTCCAATCTGTCAGGCCTGGCGTGGTGAGTTCCTTCATGATTGTTGGTAGGTTCTCATGAACTTGGTAGATGAGTCCAGCTGTGGTGGCTGTTCCGGCTTCATTGATGAGTTGTTGGAGACTGGCGTGGAATTGGAGGTGCGACCATGTGGGGACATCTGCTATGGTAACTTGCACTCTGAGTTCTTCTTCTACTAGGCATAATGCTAAAATTTCATGTTGGTAGTCAAGTCCGGTCTTTTCTGCTACTGTGATAGCTGGCCATCGGGTCATGAAAGCTGTCTTCACATCTGCCCATGTATTCTTATCTGAGGCACTGAGTTTGTTGCACCATGTGTCTGCGATTGACCCTGCAGACAATAAGGTGCTAAACACTGTAACTTTAGCCGGCTCAGTCTTCATGTCACTGAGTATGATGAAGAGATCTACATTGCAAAGGAAGTTTTGCGCATTTTCATCTGCCTTGCCGTGGAATCACTTTGGGGCATTTGTCTCAGTCATCTTCCTCTGTACCGGTGATGGCTGTGGTGGGACTTTAGGGTTGGATGGGGCTTTGATTGGAGTGCGCAGACGTGGGACTAGGAATTGTGGTGATATAGAGGTGAATGGTGGCTGTAATATTGGGAATGGGGCTAGGAATGCTGATGAGGTGCTGAACGTGGGTAGGGTGATGCTATCTTTGTCTGGTGCTCCTTCTAGAGATTCTCAGTCTTTGTCGTCCTTTTCCAGTTGCTGTTGAACTTCCTTCAACTCGTATTCTGAGTTGTCTGGTTCGGTGTTATTGCTGTCTAGTTCCTTGGTCTTGAGTTCTGGTGTATCTAATGGGGAAGATTCAGCAGACGTTGCTGTAGATGATGATATGAAAGGGTTTGTTAGGCTTTTGTGAATAAATCAACTGTTTTTTCCTTGTTCTGGTATGGCTTTGGGTGGCATTTCCAACGTTGACAAGGGCTTTTCTATATCTTCTTCAAGGCCGTGCCGCTACGGTGTGTTTTACACATGCGTGTTGGTGTATGGTCATTGACGTTCTAAGTGCCCTTCTCATTGACTTTTCTGATGTGGTGGCATTGCGTTTTGGCCAATCGGCACTTGTTCAACTCAACTGGTAGGAGTTAAAATGAAGATCAAGACACACTCTCACCACAATGGAGCAGGCGCTCCAGCCAATGTGAATGCAAGGGATGAGTTGGTTCTGTTCTAGTCTCTGTCTACTGCTACCTTCCCTTTCGTATGTTCTGCCTTACTAAGCTGCTCTAACCTCCGTAAATCCCCCAACTCTGCACCCCCTTGCTAGGGGATGCCCCACTCCAATGACATCACAGTCTGTTGGATAGCAGGACACAGTGAAGTAGTAGGCAATGAACTAGCGGATGAGGAAGCCAAGAAAGCGGCAGAGAGCAGACTGGAACAGCAGTGCGACCAATCAGCTGCTGCAATATCTATCACTCAGCCAACTACCCAGCAGCCTCTCTGCCATCAAGCAAGCCTTCAAAAAGGACACCAGAAGCAGATGGGACCACCTTTGGGCAAAGTCCCTGAGATATGCCCACATGCAGCAGATCGACCTGAACATCCTCTCATGCTCCTTTGTAAAATTAGTAGCAGACCTCCCAAAACAACTAATCGGCCTATACATGTATTTCCACATGTGACATATCAGTCTCAACCACCATCTTCACTGCATCCAGCGAAGTGACTCTCCCAATTGTCCTATATGCCAGAACACAGCAGAAACTATCCATCACTTCCTCTTCAAATGTCCCCAATACAACTGCGAACGCTTCATTCTACATCAGAAACTCGGTTGCAAGGCTACCTCTCTCCCCTGTCTGCTATCCAACCCCTTGGCTATGAAACACTTATTATGCTACATGAACAGTACTGGCAGACTTAAGACTACATTTGGTGACATGTCCCTTCCTCCTCCACCTGATCATTAAATAACACTCCCCAAGCAGCTTACAAGACTCCCATGATACAAACCTATGTGTACTTCATGACCCATCAATGACACACACACCTAGACCACAAAACATCAAGCTCATCATCTAACCTACTACTCCACACCTAATTTAACTCACCTTACACGAAGACGAAGGCTCAGCCCACAGCAAGCCAAAGAATATTAGTCGGGAGGTGGAATTGGTCCTGGGACACCAGACAGAGGCAAGGTCCTTAGACCTGGAGGAACAAGACGAAAGGAATAAGAATAGAAAGACAGAAAAAGAATCGGACCAGATGACGATGACAACCCACTCCTCACCAGCAGACCCACCTCATTCCACTACATGTCCCACTGAACACCACCAAATTGCACCACTAATGCACTTCTTTTATAGCTTCATGTACAAGTCTGTCCCTTGGGACAGTCGAGTACATGCTTCAGTTTACCAAACCCTACAAACCAATAGTCACACCATACATTATGATGAGAGATGTTGCCTCATCTTCGAACAGATTGTGCATCTAAAATGGCCGGCAGGGAACGGCAGGACTGGTGTGGGAATTCCTCACACCAAGGCATTCGCGAATCCAGAGATGTAGCAAAGGCAGGGGCCTTTTAGACTAGCTAGTATTGTCCGACATAGGGTACATTACCCCAATGGACAGAAATTGGAAATAAAAAATAAAAAGATAAAAGTATCTCAGTGACACAGCCGGTGAAATCAAAGATATTGAGTATGGGCATGCATGAACAATGATGCAGGAAATAAGAGATGAGTATTAGAGTACCAACAACGAGAAATTGTAACTGTACATGTAAGTAAGCACTTCGCTTTCGCTCACACCTCTTCCCCCAGCTGCTAGTCTTCATTCCGCACATACTGGTCAACAGGGCCCTCCTGGAACACCCGAGTCACGAATAATCGCGCCCTGAATTTTCGATGCCATCTTGTCCTGGGCCACCCAGTTAGATTCAGCTGTGTGCTGGGACATTGGAACGAGGTGCGCCAGCGAGTTAGTGAGGTGCCGCGGGAGGCTGCGGGAAGTTCTTCTGCGGAGCTTTATAAGGGAAACCCCACTGCTCATACGGGTTCGAAGAGTGGACATTGCAATCTGTGTCGCGCAGCTGCATGATTTACAGCTTTACACGTCCAGAAGAATGTGGAGAAGTACTGTGTTCGTTCGTTCCCGCTGAGCTGAAAGAAGATATTGTTAGGTTGCCCCCGTGTGGCGAAGATGAGGTGCGAAGGGGTGTTTTGGGGATGGTTCGTAAGGGCTGCCCCATACAACATCTAGCAAGAAGAGAAGTCCGTGCGGAGAGACTGGGCGATGGGATCCATGCGTCACCTGCACGAGCCACATTGTCGACGTGCTGGCATCGAACATGACTGCATCAGTGCCTGGATGCACTAGCCCATGATTGGGGGAGAGGAGGACCTGCGGACAGTTCTCCGCTAACATTGCGAGTTCGTGTTGCATTGTATATGTATAGCTTGGGGCCATGTCCCGCTGGTCCTTTGGCGCTAAATGAATCTTTGTTCGCAGCACAAAGTCTTCATTTGCCGGATGGCATTGTCCATGCAAATCAGGGCGTCCGAGCTTGAAGGTGCCTCCAAATGTCGACATGAGGGCGACCACAGCGCGACGATAGAATACCTCACCCGCATCTTTCGCGTCCTCCGATTTTATTAGGTCGTCGGCGATCTCTTTCGCGGTGAAGGAGTCCATGGAGACGACCTTGTCCACGAGGAGCCTGCTAGCGAATTGTGACATGGGGTATGGGAACAGATCTGGGTGGGATTTTCCAGGTGCCACAGCAAAGAGATTATGGCTGTATCTGGCTTCTCGTTCGCGCAGTGTGGGTTGCATGCTCGAGTTCACGGAGATGACAATCAGCATCACTGGCATGGTGAGATTCTTGCAGACAGTAACGTGCGTTAGACCCAAAATGGGTGTATGAGCATCGTAGGGACTCGACAGCATCATGTCCTGGTGTGACAGCACTAACGAGGATGGTCAGCGATAACTAAGATGTTATAGATTCATTCACCTCATCACAAATATCTCATCGAACTTGCACGGTTTCATCCACTGCCGAACCGCGACATCGTATTCAGGCAACCATTTGATGTCGAGGCCCAGACTGTCTGGCCAGAACATGGTGAAGATAGCCTTGCCGCATGTGTCCCGCATCAGCACACGAGTGTGCTCGGTGCTCTCACGCGTGACGGAGTCTTTCTGTGTGCTATCGATGAGGTGTAGTACGTCTTTATGTTGGAATAGGGGGTGGTACTCACTGTTCTTGTGGAAGAGCGAAGAAGCCGTCGGTGGTGAAGCACCAGACTGGTGCGTCCGTTTCATCGATCTGGTAGGTTACTGGCCGACGCGCAAGAAGGCGCCTGACGAGGACGTATGACAGGAAATATGTCTTCCCTATGGGTAATTGGCTGCATCAAGCAGCGGACATTGTAGAAGGACGTCGACTCACCGATACCAGCCGACCTATGGATGACGAGATTGCGCTCGTTCCATGAGAACCTGTTGAACATGCTCTCATATACAGAGCGGATGACCATCGAGCTCGCTCCATTTGGTAACTTGGAACTAGGGTGTCCAGATAGATCGATGGCGGAGAAGATTAATGGGTGTGTCCTGGTTCGGACTTCCTTAGTATCATTTCAAGTCCTGGGGAAGGAAACAGGCTCACCGTTCTTTATCCTCCATATCTATAACATTGCATTCCAATCTTCACACACCAGAATGGTCTTCCTGTTGCCACAGGGCATGATAGAGTGCTAAGAGGTTGGAATGCGATACCGACGGGCTTGGGGTTGCAGTGGATGACATGTTGGTTTGCATGATAGAGTTGGACGAAGATGGAGGATATGGAAGCAGTCGCCGTTTAGTCGTTGCGGCATTTTCGGATGTGGCGGATGGACGGATGTCTTCGTGACATCACTTGAGTGGAAGTTGTTTACTTCTGTTGAATTGTGAAGCTGCTGACTAACCATAGTATTGGTGGAGGTACAACAACCTAGCTAGCTAGTGCAGCTGCACGTTGACGAGGAAGTGAATTTATGGCATAGTTCACAGGTAATTCTCTTCCTCGTCGACTGCTTCCCTTTCATTATTTTTCACTGACGAAACAATGATCGATAGGGTCCCTCCTCGTTGCGCTCAGTACTTATTTTGCATTTGAGATGCAAGGATTATTGCACGATGGTGCCTTCCTTCGAGCTTGAGATCGCTAGCTTGGCGTGAATGTGCTACTTTAGGCTGCAGGTTGGCTCCGTCGAAACTTTCCCCTGCGGGTTAGTGCAATAAGAATCATCTAACCAGTGAACAACACCTAGCTTACTACCGGTGACTAGCTGACAAACGAACTGTCGGGACTCTCGTCCACCACTTTGGGCTGGCAGAGCTCCACGTGTTCCTAGTTAGCCTATACTTTGTGCCAGAGACACCCCGTAACATGAAATGGAGCCTGAGCTCAAGATGACCAATACTTAGTAGGATGATTGACACCGCTCTCTCTGACGTGTACGTATCATGCGACACGATTCTATGTATGAGGTTGCTTGCGAAAGTAAATAAGTACATCCGATTGAGCGCTAGGACTCGTGGGGTAACGGGTTCGCTCCAGGCTCATTATCACCCATCGCATGTCACATATGGATCGTTTAGCAGGCAGCATGAGGAACAGGTACAATTTATATAGCTAGTGACTGTGCCGTCCGGTCCACAATAAACGTAGATCGGGTAGCCGCTGTTAAAATCCGGGGCCCATCCGCACTCGACATTGTCTGCGAGCAGCCGTAAGCATACAGTCAGAGGCCCTCACGTCCAGAACTCGCTAGGCTGCAAAGTACTCACTAGGGTCTTTGCAGTGGAAGCCGATTATCTGCAGTGCAGTAGCTGTGACAGCGATTGCTGCGACAGAAATAATCATAGTGTTGAGTGAGATGAACTTCATGGTTGTAATTCAGGAGAGGGCTAAGGCCTGAGGGTGTATTTGCTATTGAGTCGAAAATTAGCATGACCATCGGTTTTATACGTGAGGGGTAATTCATTTTCCTGCGCATCCGCTCGCATGTCCGGATGCTCTGTAGTAACGTAACCGATGCCTATGATCTCTTCAGAGCGTCAAAAGTACAGTCACAGCGTTTCAATATTACGATACCTCTTAAACATAGGACCTATAAGGACTTGATGAAGTTGATCTGGCAAAGCATCTAAATTTGGGATCACTCGCTGGGATTCGTGACTTGCATACACTTGCTGGCGAAAGCACCAGATCAGATTAAGAGCTAGGACTCGTCAGGTAACGTATTTGCTCGAGGCCCATTTCAAACATCACAAGACCTATTTGAACCTTCTATGACGCAGCATGAGGCACAGGGACAATTTTCATATGAAATGATCGTGTAGTCAGGTCCACAAATAAAAATTCAGAAGAGGGCTAAGCCCTGACGGTGTTTTTGCCATTGAGTCGAATGCTGATACGACCTTTTATGTGCGGGTGGTGGTTCACTTTCTGTGCATCCGCTCATATATCTAGATGCTCTGTGATGTAACAGATGCCCACGCCCCGTAGCATGATCTCTTCAGAGCGTCAAAAGCAGTCATAGTGCTCCAAAGTTATGATACCTTGACGTGGAACCATGAGAATTTGATGAAGTGAGCTGGCAAATTTGGGCCTATTGAGATTACCCTAGTATTGTTGGCAGAATGCTAGATTTCTGCCAGTGGCAATTGCCGGCAGTAGGTCGAGGGTGGGTAGTAGAAGCCGGCAGAATACCAGTATGTCGTTCGATCTTCAATGGAGTCCTTAGTATTTCTCAGAACTGCGGCTCCATTGGACAAGATGAGTACTAGCGTTAAACAGGGGGGGGGGGGATATAGTATTACCCACAACGAATTGTTCATAGTCTTTGTAATTGGCTATCGCTCACTGGCAGACACTTGTAGTGGAAACAAATGATTTGTAGAGTCGAATATATTTCGCATATCGGTGACTATAACACTGGGGTCGGTACGAAGTATGGATGAATCCGTGAAGCTCTTTCCAGCCCCGATTGTGTGCGTGAGTGTGCACAAGAAAAAGAGAAAGGTGAGCTGTGATGGTTGGCGTCTAGCCTGAGTTGGGTGTCACACAGGTCGATTGGGTCCACAAGAGCGTTGCTAGGTGATGCGAGGCGCACCGTTGGAAGTCAAGAGGGCTTAAATAGTGAACAGGGAACGACGGGCAGAGCTCGACGACGCAAACGTTGTCGAGCAGCTGTAGGACACTGAATCGGCAAATACCGGACAGTGCTCCCAGGTTTCGGACTTCATCCCAAGGACTCACCTAGTGCACACCCTCATATGCATGATCAACGCCGGTGAAACTCGTGGTCTGCGTGTCTTACTGACAACCGTGCCAAAGTCGACGAACCAACTGTGCACAGGGCGATCTTGCGTACAGAGGTATACTAGGGCTCATTAGGAAAAGAATCTGGAACATTGTGGAAAGTAGGCTGCCTGGTACGTAGTAGGTATCTTTGCATCTCTGGGTCTTTCCAATCCCATTCTGACTCTTGCTCCAAGTCATATTCACGCTCACGCTCATATTCGGTTTCCCGTTGCATATTGCACCCTTAGATTCGACCTATCATGCTCGTCCAAACTGTTGATTTTCTTGCCACGACGCGCTCAATCATTCTCTCCCATACTACCAGCTCAACTATCCTGGCTCGCCTCCTTCACGATCGCGGATTTCTTTCCTTTTCAGCGATTTGTATTGCTTGTACTACGCAATACAATGAATCTTTAATTATCTTGCTAGACCCCGCGCGCCCTCTTGAGCTCTGCAAGTCCTGAATCCCATCCCCAAAATTCAACCACATGCATGCAAAGTTCAACACACAGCCAATTTCAATTAGAGCTTGGGTTATGTAGTGTTATGCTGCCAGTTGCTGCCGAAGTGGACCAACCAGAAAATCTACCGGGCGATGGCGTGTGGGTAGAGGCTCTCGTAGTGCGCACCTCGATTTGTCGAGCATCACACAGGCTGCCTAGGTATGTTCAATTCTAGCCTCATTTCCCATTCTGACTCTTGCTCCCTGTCACATTCACCTCATAGCACGCGCGTGCGGCCAATCTCATGCCAGTAGCGAGCTGTCTGCCGGGTCCTCTCGGGCATTGGATTCTTCTCGTCGAGCGTTTGTTCGCCATGTTCCGAGAGACGAAGATCTAGAGGACTCTGCGGGCAAATGCGATGGGGACCAACCATGCGAAGGGGGCGACGGATGTCGCACTTGGAGCTCGTATGACTGCACGTTCAACAATAGGCAGCGCGTGAGTAATCCGGTGAACTCGCCGAGGCGCTAACACTAACCTTTTTCCAAATTAACTGACTCACCAGACAGACGGATCCCCGGACGGATGGATTGCGCAGACTTTCGCCTAGTCACCCGCATCTCGGTATGAAAACACTCAGTGCTAGGCTGAGTGCTGCCAGCGCCCGGCTGTATGCGCTTGCCTCAGCCATGAATGCCGGTGAGTAATCTTCCTAGGGCGCCTTGCCAGCTCAACGTCATTGAGTTCTTATAGGTCCACGTCAAGAGGCGTTGTAGCGGGGAGCGCAGCGCAGGGCTAGGAGCACGACGCAGAGGATAGCGCGAGGCATAGTACAGGGGTCAGAGCAAGGCAATCAGGAACATAGCGCAAGGATAAGCACGAGGCAGGTGCCAGGGGTCTCAGACATCGGGGGTCTTAGAGTATATACCAACACGAACACGTAGAGACAGACACACAACAACATGTTCCCTTCACCTTCAGAGAGCTAGGCTGGCAAGTCCATATGGTGATGAGAGTGGGGAGAGTACCCACTTGATTAAGCACGAATAGATTTCAGGTCGCATTTCAGTCAACAGATTGCGAACGGATACAACATATCCAGCAACAGGACACACTACCAGGACACACCAATATTTCTCCTACTTCCTCTCCCTCGAACCCGCTGGAAGGTGAACCGTCTACACCTTGGCGACACAACTTTTCATTACCAATATCTCAACACGCTAAATGCGAACCTGTTATGACCAACGTTCACCAATAATGATGAAGGCGAGTTCACAACCACTAGGACTCGGTCAAAGATGATGAGGAACAGGATGGTATTGAGTGTGAACATCTAAGTCACTACAACAGTAGGAAACGAAGAGGTTAAGTCTAAGGAGTACTTACGCTAACTAACCTACTTTTATACATAACATTGAATAGGAGTCTGAAAGAAATCAGCCAATGAGAAAAGAGTCAGTACGATACTGCGGATGACTAAGTATGACTCATGATATATAAGCGAATGAGTAAGACAGGCAACTAAACAGAAACCCAAGTTCCGACCGGTTCTTCTTTGGGAAGCGAGATTGTTCTAGCCTGTGGAGTAGGGGAGCCAATCAGAGAAACCACAGGTGATATGTGAAGAGGTGAAGGTGTGACAGGGTGAGGAGTCATGTGACCGGTTCGGGTACTGGAAGTAGCCGAAGGAAAACCTGAGAAATGAAAAATGGTTTGTATTAGGAATTCGTGACAGAACCATCAGAAGAATTCGACGATGCATTTCGCCTTTACCCAGCTCGCTTTGCACCAGACGAAAAACATTTCATCACCCTACTCCACAGAATCCTCATGATTATCTATTACACCCACCAAACCAGCAGTCAAATCCATAGGCAAACCACTAGCAATATTCCTGCGTCAACTACCTGCTCTACCGCTATCAACAGCCAAAACCCAAACAACCGCGAAGACAATGGCCATGACTGACACTGTGAAACCAGTCCCACTCTTCTACGGCAACTATGGAGAGAAAGAAAACCCAGTGGCATGGTTTGCTCAATTTGAATTGTCTCTTCCCATTAGTTGGACAGACGCACAATCTGTTAAGGTCGTGCTTAAGGGAGAGGTTACTCAAAGGGCTTCAGCTTCAGCTTGTGTGCTGCACCCCTTACCCGAGTACTGTGCCCTTAATTTCCTGGGGGACAGAGGGGAAGTCCGACAGAAGTCTGGGGAATTCCAGAGGACAGAAGTCGGTGGAGTTTGGCGGAACTCCAGAAAACTATGTGGGGACAGAGTAAGGCTACTACGGAAGTCCGGAGTAGAAACAGAACAGAGGTTAGACTACCCTAAGGTAGAGCTGGAGAAGTAGTTCTAAGGTTTAACCCCTAAGACTCGGAGGTGGACAAGAGATGAGACTCAAGTCCGGAGATTGCAGGAATGAGCAGAACTAAGATGATATTTGAACTAAGGAGTTCCAGAGTTTTACAGGGGTTTATATACTGTAGGTATCATGTAAGTAAATCAGTCAGCAAAGGTAAGGGCTATGTACTGAAGCATGTGGAAAGTCTATTACTGTCATATACCCGATTCAGCCACTTCCAACACCATTCATAGACATCCCTACCATTGGTCCAACCCCCTGTTTCCCTGTCCGCTCCATCCCTCCTTCTCCGACAATGCACGAAGTGCATCTCAGCAGGACTAGCCCTGCTGCCTCCAGCCCGACTCCGCTCCGCTTCTCCGACACTATCCCCTATTTCCTCTGACACCATATCCCTACCCTCCGAGACCCTATCTGGAGCTCTGCTCCTCCACTCCATTGGTCCGACTGATCCTACTCCCTCCACCATCTCCGCTTTTCCTGATCCACTCAGTTCCTTCAGTTCCACTCGTGTTGTTCCATCCGATCGATTGGTCCGCCCGAACTGCCTCACCGGTCCACCCCTAGACTAGGAACCATTCAACTGGTCCTATCTCCTTTTAGTATCATAGCCCTCCTTTCGGATCACTGGTAATCTCTATACCCGAGTGATTATTGATCTGTCGCGTACATACTATTCTCCGAGCCCCTTTTCTCGTATGTCTCAGTCATCTTTCTAATAATTCTGTACACTCAGCACATAGCCTTTGCTATGCTATGCTACCCACTTAGAGTATATAAACATATGTACAATTGTCTGTAGATACTCAGTCAGAAGATTATCTTTTCTAAGCCCTGCTCTTCTGGTTCTTTGACTTGGGCCTGATCCGAGTCAACTCCT